CTCTCTCTCTCTCTCTCTCTCTCTCTCTCTCTCTCTCTCTCTCTCTCTCTCTCTCTCTCTCTCTCTCTCTGCCCATCCTCTCTCCTCCCTCCATTGAGAGAGAGAGAGGGAGGGGGGGAGAGAGAGAGAGAGAGGCACCAGAGGCACCATCACCATCCCTCCTCCCTCGGCCCATCCTCCATGCCTGCCTCGACCCTCTCTCCTCCCTCCCTCGACCCGTTCTCCATTCCTGCCTCGACCCTCGCTCCTCCCTCCCTCATCCCTGCCCCATCTGCCCTCCCTCCTTACTCCCGTTCTCCTTCCTTCTTTCCTCCCTCACCTTCTCCCTCCTCCCTCTGGTGGCATTACCTTCCTTGGCCCTCCGTCCTCCCTTGCTTCCTGCTCTCTTATCTGGGGATGATATAGAGAGTGCATTCCGTTTTTCTTAGCTTTCTCAATTTGCGTTAGGGCTTAGCGCCACTTTTTTTTCAATGTGAACAAAGGCGAGCGTGTGGTCTCGCCCGTGTGGTCACACATAGGCGCACACAGCGAGAGGTGTGGATGTGTGTGTGGGGAGAGAGAGAGAGAGAGAGAGCTGACTCAGTGTGGTGTGTGTAGGGATTGGGGAGGAAGAGAGTGAAATATGGAAAGAAATATCAATAGCCTGAAATATCTGGCGCAGGGCAGTTAATCATAAGGCCGCTCCAAAAAGAAAAGACCGAGGGAGAATGTTGAGGAGGAAGATCTTGAGGAGGTAGAAGACGTGGTGGTGGAAGAGACAGACAAGGACAAAGAAGGTGCGAGGAAGGAAGTGTGTTGGGTGAAATGCGTTTTTCTCTCTCCTGCTTTCCCTCCCTCCTTGCGAGTGTGCAACAGTGTTGAGATCTTAAAAGAAGTGGAGCGATCTTGATAACAAATGGCGTGTTTACGTCCACCGGATAAAGGAAAAGAAGTATTTATTACGTCGGGCGTTACGAAGGAAGGGCGGCCGGTCGAGGGAGGAAGGGGGAGGTAGGGAGTAGGACGGAGGGAGGAATGGAAGTACGAGGTCAGGTGGTGATCGGGCTGAGGAAGGAAGGGGAGGGAGGAGATCGAGGGAAGGAGGAGGTCAGACAAAGATCAGGCGAACCAAGGGGGCGAGCGAAGGGGAATGAGGCGGCCAGGCGGACGGAGGCCAGAGGGAGGTTGAAGAGGTGCGGAGGAGGCCTGCAGGGAGGGGAAAAGCGGCAGAGAGTAGGGCGGAAGCAGGAGGTCAGGTGGAGATCGGGCCAAGGAAGGAAGGGGAGGAAGGAGATTCGGGGAAGAAGGAGGTCAGTGCAAATCGGGCGGAGGAAGGAGTAGGACGGAGGAGATACGAGGGAAGGAGGTCAGGCGGAGATTAGTCGAAGGAAGGGGAGTCAGGTGGCCAGGCGAGGGAGGGAAGAGGGAGGTTTAAGAGAAGGTCCAGAGGAGGCCGGGAGAAAAGGGAGACGGCAGCGAGAAGTAGGGCGAAGGGAGGACAAAGCAGAACATAGTTTAGAGGTTGAGTGACGTATGGGGGAGGAAGTGGAAGGAGGGCGGGAGGAAGGGGAAAGACGGCGGGGTGAAGTCGGGCGGAGGGAGGGCAGAGGTTGGGTGGGTTACGGAGCAAGGGAAGAGGTCAGGTAAAGGTGGAGAGAGAGAGAGAGAGAGAGAGAGAGAGAGAGAGAGAGAGAGAGAGAGA